TATTGTAACCCTTGCTTGGAAGGTAGGACGACCGCTTATTTTTTTTGGACGGCTTCATTTTTAGATTGGACTGAAGCTGCAGTCTAGTAAAACCATTTTTGTAATTAAATTTCTCTCATCTTTCTTTGTTTAGCGTGGTCATTTTGATAAAGTAGTTTCTTTTTAGACTTTTTGAAATTTTAAGAGCTTACTGACTTTTTCTGGCCTTTATTGGTCAAAAGTTTCAAAAACTGAACTGTGTATTTAAAGCATTTTTTCTTTCTTTGCTAATTTGAGTGTACTAATTGATGAGATAAGTTGAGTGACTTTTGAAAATTGGAAGGGTTATTATCTCTTTTGGAAAATAGAAAAAGATTGATATCTTGGTTTTTGGGAAAATCTGTCTGGGTGTTAAAAAGTGGTAAATTTTTAAGTTCTTTGCAGTAATCATGGTATTGGGTTCTTAGACTGTTAGCAGTTTGGTAGCTAAGAGGATTTTTATCAAATTGAATTTTTTACTGCGAAAAGTTCTAAAAACCCCTTTTGTTTATCAGAATCTTTTATACCAGTGTGAAAGTTAATTTTTTGCTGCGCTTTTGAACCCTCTTCGGTATTTAAGTTTTTTCATTCTCTGCATCTCATTGCAATACTTTTTGTTTTTCATATAAGCCTACAAAATTTATTCTTCTTTTTTTCATTTCAGATTTTTTTTTTATTGTACTTATATGGCAACTTCGACAATGTTTGCCTTTGAAGTCAAAAAATTTTTTATCTGCCTGTATTTAGAATTTTGCTTACGCAGACTTGGTACAGCTGGAAACTAGCACTGAAATTCGGTCATGCGGTCATTTTGCACACATGACTTGTTTTGATGGGTACGTGGAGACACTAACGGTTTGTTTTTTTTAGCTTTTTTTTGTGTATTTTCTTTTGATAGGTTCTTAGATTACTAATAGTTAACTTGAGTCCTGTCTTCTATTCCTCGTTTTCTAGAGAAGCAGAGCCTTCGTTTTTTGTCTTGGAAAACGGGTGACTGATAAGTCAAAAGAGCATATATAAATTTGGGCGGTCCCTCCATTTAAAGCACTTTTTCCAGTTAATGCTTTGGAATTTTTAAAATTTTGCTGATCGGTAGAATCTGAGCCTGCAATTAAAAAATTAAGGAGAAAGGTTGAAAGACAGAATTTTGGTCAAACGATGCGGTTTGAAATTCGCAAAATCTGCCGGGTTGCTATTATATAAGACTCCCTTCTCAAACTTGTATTTCAGCTCAGCCTAAACGAAATTTAATGATGTTTTTGTTACTTAGATTTTCTTTCACTACTTCTGGGTTTGTTACATCATTTAATTGAATTAGATAGATAGGTAGGTATAACAGAAGCAGAAGTTCAAAAGAATTTTAAGAAAATTTATTTTCAAACTTAAAAAGATATTTGTGTGGAATTTTCTGTTTTATGATGTATCGCGATTTGATGATGTCATGGTAATGCAGGCGAGGACGATACTGTGGAAATCGAAGCAAGGTTGATAAGGTTTTACTGTTGTTACAGTATACGCATTTATTTTACAGTGGCAAAGTCAGCGCCAACTGAAGAGTTTACGTTTCAAAGCTAAGGCAGACTGTTCTTGATATTCACCATGATTTAACTGATAGAAATTTCTCCGAAGACGTTACATTTTATATAGAAAATTTTGCAAAGTATTATTGTGAAGGCGTTCGACAAGTGCAAAGCTGGAAATTTTTTGCAAACACGCACTGTTAACCTGCAAATCTTGTAATGAGTGCAACTTCTCAATATAAGTTTTTAA